GTGCTATCAACCTTTGAGGTGGTTGGCTAAATTTCGTTTTGTCCTGCTTACAGGTTATGGTAAGATGAATATAGATACCGGGGTGAGGGATTAGACTGCATTTTTTCTTTTAGATCTATCGCTGCCCTCTCGTTAATTGCAGTGTCTACCACCCTCTCCCTTCCTAACCCCTTGAATGCTATGCAAATCCTTTACATTAACATTTTGATGGATGGTCCGCCAGCTCAATCTCTTGGTGTTGAACCACCAGATACTGATGTGAGTAATGTCTACGGTCTCCTCTTTACATCAAAGAAATTGCCATAGCCGTTGACCTCCTGTAATTAAATGACATTTATATTTACTATTCGTAGATTGTCAATCAGCCACCGCGCCATATTCAAGAGTCAATATTAGATCGACGCCTTATCAAGAGTGTTCTCATCTCTTCCTTTACGATTGTTTGTGGAACCCTCTTCATATTCCACCGCGAAATGGCTACTGATGGGAAAGTCACGCCTCGTGATACAACAATGACGTTCACTTGCTTTGTCCTTTTTGACATGTTCAACGCACTTTCCTGTCGATCTCAGGTATAGTTTGCCTTTCTTTCTAGATCTGTAAGCAGTGTAGATTGTCGCCTTAATAAGTGATGCATTCGTATTTTGGAATTTTACACTGTAGAAGAAGTCAGTCTTCGAAATCGGCTTTTTCTCAAATCGCGTATTTGTGGTGGCCGTAAGTTTGTCTCTGATCGGACAGATTTGTGTAATTTATTTTCCTCCACTCCAATCTGTCTTCCAAACTGAGGCCATCTTTGTCAGTGGTAAGTCAGACTTAGCTGGAACCTTAACCTCAAAACATCCTTTCTTATAGCTTACTTTTGAGCCAACTCGAATAAGCTTATTACTTTAATAATAAACAAATATATTTAATATGCTTGTGTCAAACCAACCTTATTAGTTGTTCTTAAAAGCCTCATTTGTATGAACCCACTAATCAAAAGAGGCGGGGATCCATTTTTGGTGGCTGATACGCAGTTTACTGAAAAACAGTGCGTCAATTTTTAGTCTTTTAAAGTTGTCTCACCAGTTTTGGTGCCAAACTAGTAGGCAGGGCGCTTCTACATGGAAAGAGTTGACAGTAGTGATGAGGCATCCTGGTCACTCGAATTGCGGCGCTTATCCGAATTCCTAAACGGTTTTGAGTAATTGTGGAATTTCTGGTTGCACTTTACGCTGAACGTACGTGCGTAATTAGATATTCTACTGACCGAATGCTTGTAGGCGGATTGCCAACGCCGTAGGCTGCAAACCGTCTTAATCGGGATAATTACGGCTGAGCATTTTTTTTACAAATTAAATAATGGGTTTATCATCATGGTTCTGTGGTGGCGTTGACATCCTGTGGACAATTCTGTTGTTATTTTTAGACATAAAATGTAATGAATATTGAGACATACTTCTGAAAGTCTAGCTTTGTTTAGTACGTCTTACGGATGTGCAATCAAGGGTATTTGTACCGAGTCAGGTCCTTCAATTTTACTAAAGTTCTGCTTTTTCTGATTTTTTTTAGACTGGATTCTACTCTTAGCCATATCAAGCAGTGTTTTTGTAATATCGGAGTATCGCAAGTCCAAACTGAGTGTTTCTCAACTGTTGCATCCAAGAAAGTTCTTCCATCGTCTTCGGGAGACTCTTCAACGGTATCTGCATCGTGGTCCCTGTACCGAAATCTCAAAATCAATTGTCTAGTCGCTTGTCCCTTCTTTACCCTTCATTTTTTTCTTTTATGGACGAATCACCTGTGTACTGACATTTTATCGTTATACTAGTGTAGGCAAATGACGGATTTTGAGTCGTTTTTGTGATCTCTGGGAGTCGCTTTTACTGGCACTCAGTGGCAAAAGCATCGAACAAGGTTTGATAGGGCAGCGGCGACTAAAATTCCAATGAGAGGTAGAAAAGGGATTTTTTTCTACTTTGTTCACCAAGTCTACAAGTCCTGAGGTGGACAACTTCGATATCGTTGAGTTTAAAAGTGGGTATAGCTTCGGCGTCAGCTCTTCTTCTCTGACTAGGATAGCGATTTTAGGTGTTGGCAGTGTAAAACAAAAGGTTGTTTGTACACAGAAAGGGTCGCAACACCTAAGAAAATCGCAGGATTCGTTTGTGTGCGCCGTGCGGTGGCGAGGTATATGGTTTGGATGAGATAACTAGTTATTTGTAACGCTTATGGCTGCACGTCTCCTAAATTCGGTCTTGGTTGTGTTTTGAACTATCTTGAGTCTCACTGAGGGTAACCCACACATATTTCGCAATTATTTTACACAATAGACAAGTTTTTCTTTGGTAACAATGAATAAAGCCAGTGTAGACTATGTGCATCCAAGAAGTTCCACTCTTATTCACCGCACATGGGTGGATATTGAGTGTGGCGCCAATAAAAGTAGGTATCAAAGATTGGATGGCTTATGAATTTCGAAACCCAGTTGACGAAGTGAGACAAGATGTTGAAAGTGCTCGTCAACTTCAAGATAGGCTAGGTACACACTTCATTGTGCTCTATTTTGGATGGAATGTTCAAAAAAAGCATTCGGGTGTGGAGTGTCACATCCATACCATATTGTCATTGGTGTCCACTGTCACTAATAAAGGTGGCTTAAGCCTCTAAATTACAGAACTTAATTGACCTAATCTCATCAATTCCTTAACTGTCTGAATTGTAAAGGATGCTTGCTTTAAATTAAATCGAAATGTTTGCATCCCCTAACACATTGCGTCGATAGACATTGAAAAATTGTTCAGTTCGCTTGAGCATCCTTCATGAACACTTCTTGGTGGCTTTGATAAAATCTCTACCTCAGCAATGGCCTTTAAGGTTGTCCGCAAGATCGTCCTACAAAGGAAAGATCATTGCTTAAATTAAGCCCTCTATTACTCGTTTATCCACACCGGCCAAAACCAAAGGGAAATATGGGAGACTTGCACTGTACACAAAGTATGCAAAGAGGATTTTTTTTCTCATTCAAAATGCGATATTGGATAAGTGACGCCAACTTCCCCACTAGAAGAATTGAAAAGGCAGCTGTGGAAGGCTATCGATTATTATTTGTCCACTTCGACAGAGCTTTGATGTTTTCTTGCAACCGTGATAGCCTTATTAAACCATAAAGCTACCATTGAATGTGGCTGACCGAACCTGATTTGCGTCAATGAGTTGATTTGGTGACAAATTTTGACAAACATATACGCAGAGATGTACAGTGGGGTTCAGGGTCATTATAGAATGAATCGTATTGCACGACATTATAAATTCATTTAACAAATTGCTTTAAATATAACTCAATTACAACAGCTTTCCGATGACTTCATTGATCCCCATTCGTGTCAGCATTGCATCATCCACGTTAGCGCAGCAGTACAACCCCAGTGGAGGGCTTTGCAGTAAAGCCAGCTACAGATGTCTCCTCCACTGCTATGCTTTGCTGCAAATACCTCCACACGGCGTAGAATGCTGTTGTTTCACACTGATGAAATCCGAGTGCTGATTTGAACTTCTTACTTCCAACCAACTCCATGAAAGGGCTTTATATAGCGCCCCTCCACATCAACGCCCCCATTCATCATCTTTCGCCTAAACACATTTAAACTCAATTCGCTTTGTATTGGAAATCGTTAAACTCGTATAACAAATCAATAAAAGTGGCTTCCTTCAGACAAGTAAAGATCAAATAGACTGATTACATGCACTTCTAACCGCATTGTAAGTAGAATTAATGGCGATGAATGATGTAGACCACCTACTTCGTCCTCCAACGGTGGCGTTCTGCTACCTCAAAGCGGCCCTGAATGTTCAATTTTCTCTGCTGCGCATGAAAACGAGGGAGAGGGAAGTCGTTTCAAAGAAGGTGATATTCAGGCTCCATAAACGCCCATATAAACTAATTAGTATCCTGTCAAACCACCCATTTGGCAGTCTCAACTTAAGCTAAGCTCTTACTGTCATTAAATACCAACCCAAAGCCTGTCATAAAACGCAAGCTCTCATCACAAGATACTCAAATGCGATTTATTAAAACTGCCTAATGATGGGGACTATGAGATTTCTGCTGTCCACTTAAAGTGGTTGCTGCTGTTTTATGGAGCCAACAAGAAGGAGGGAAAGGACAAAACAAAAGCCTCTTAAAGGGCATTGCGCTGGTTGAACTACTTCGAAACCATATGACATCGGTAACATGTAGCCTGCTACATAAGGATAATGTAAAGCTAAGGAGATTACCACAGTTAGGCAATAAATATCAATGTCAGGGCAGAGCAGATCTAAAATCGACTCGAAAGCTTACTCAGCGTCGTAGACGGACCTCAAGAATTCTCCTTCTTGGAGTTAATGGCAAAGGCAGATGGGATTTAATGTGTTGTCTGTGGAGAGAGGCGTTGTGTAATTGCGCCAGCCCCTTCGTTCCCTCCCCCTTTGTGTCCAAGCAGTTGATTGTGTCCACTTTAACACCACGTTAATTTAGGCCAAAACTCATTGTGTTTCACTGACAGTACAAGGTTCATATTGTCATCCTTCTCCTCAATTTCCTCAAGGTCACGAAAAAATACTCTTCGCACAAGTTATCAAACAGTTTCAAAACGCTTTAACAAATTTTGTTACCCTGATCAGCCAGTGTGACCCACAAAGTGACTGAATTCATTACTTAACATTTGAGGTTAAGCATGTAAAAGGATAATTTGCTTCAAAAAAGGCTGAAATGATGCGTCCATTCTACAGATTAAGCTTTGTGTATGCGGCTCTCAGTACCATCGAGATTTCAACCGGGGTAGGAATGACTGAATATCTCGGTGTCGGAATCCTCTGCTAATTTATGTCTGAACACTGGAAAATGACCTGGGCGAATCACATTGGAAACTGACATAACGGTGTAGGAACGGCCTGTCTACCCTCCGGTCACTGATCCTCAGACTTCAAGAGGAAGTTAGTTGCAGACGATTTATTAGGCATTACTATTGGGAAGGATGGGGAATGAGATACAGATGAGGTGAGTGGGAGATATCAATCGGAGGGAGGCTCCTTGTCGGCTTCACGCACGTGATTCACGTTCCCGCCTCTCACCTATAAAAGTACACTTAAACAAACTAGTGTATGTTACAAAAGGCTCTCTAGGGTGTGGAGTAGGTTCTTACTGAGTACAACACCTTTTAAAGGACATCAGCATTTGATGTTAGACATGTAAAAGGGAATCGGTAGGAACTAAGAGAAACTCGCCAATAAGGAAATCTGTTCAGAAGGTAGTACTTATTTTTTAAGTGTTTGAAAGCTGACTAGTGTAGTATTAAAACAAGCAGTTCTCTGAAATACTACCAGAAACATTATTGGAAACAATTAACCTTGTATTAGCTCATTTGTGCAGACAGTAAGCCAAGTGGTCTCCTTCAGAGTGGCAAGAAGTTTTAAGGGTGATGGCGCGAACATGAATTGATTCAAATAGAAGAGAAAATACGTGGGTTAAATTTAGCAAAAGGCCTGTCTTAAATTGGATCATATGTATGTCCGGATTAGATTCATACATATCCAACCAGGACTCAAAAGGATTGGCTGTCGCCTTCTACTCCAATTTCCATAAACTCAACGGCTTTGCTACCGCTAAGTATGTGTTCTACTGGTCTTTCGCTTTTCATTCTTATGCAGCTGTAGGCTTTTCGAGTGCACCATACTTGAGAGTACTAAAACGAACAGATTGTTGAATTGTGACTTAGTTAATTCTAGAAGACAGTGCTAACGTTTTGTGACGAAGCTACATCCGCCACATTTTACAGCCTTCATTATGCTTGGAGCATGGGCTGCCATCACGCGAGCTATGCAATTGGTTTTGAAAGTTGTCTAATTAGATATCTATTGATCCGATATACTGACAGGTAGATGGGTGGATAAATTGAAGAGGAAGGAGTAAGAAAATGGGCAATTCGTCACCAAACTGGTGACGCCTAACCGTGAAAACGAGGTGGCTCCGAGGATGGTCGAGACTGATAACATAACATATACCAATGGTAAGACGCAATGAGTAGGGTGCTCGAGGTTTGAAGATCTGCGTCGCCGTGGAAAACTGCTGGGTCTGAAGATTGTGGTGAGTAAGGATGATGCATTGACTGTTTATCAAATCGATAGTGGTGGTATCCTCTTGCATTCTTAAAACCATGCTTCCTTGTTGCAGACTCGAGAAGGTTATGAGATTAACACATACCACATGATGCTGGTGATACGATTTCCTTACATAGAAAAGGTGCTACCTGCAGAAGCAAACAACCGCCTCTCATTGACACTTTTCTCTGCAGAGTAAGGCTTGTCCCCTTACTTCGAATCCTTTGTCCCATAGCTCTTTGCAGCTCTCTCCTACGCTTACACCGACGTCGTGCAACTCATTTGGGCAACGTAGTGCTCCTCTTCCTACACGTAGTTAATCCTGGCTGTGACATCATCATGGGCTGGTGTGTTGATTTCCTCAGTTCTAAGTGAGCATCCGTCACTGCACCACCCCATCAGGCAAGCCCGGTCACTAATACTTTCCTTTCTTAATACTGATTAACATCCTGCCTATCTCTAACCATTCAATAGACTTAGTCTAGACAAAGTAGCTGAGGTGTGGGTTGTAACCAACACACGTCATGAGAAACTTATGGTCTTCTGTCTGCCGACCATCAGAAATAACTTCGAGCAAGTTCTCGCGAACTCCACCTACAGTGTTCAAACG